GGTAATAAGTTGTTAAAATCATTTAAATATGATACATCCACTTCTTATTTAGTTTTAATCTTTATAGAAATTTTATATGTTTATAATCTCAAAATGTAGTTTATGATTTGATAAAACAATTATTTAATATTTGATAATAGTAATGATATGCAAATTGTCAATGGATGAAGATTTATTTTGTTAAGATTGTGTGAAATTAATAAGAAAAAAGAAGTTTAGAATAATCATTAACTAACTGTTTGACCAAATAAAAATCATTAACTAATTGAATTAATGATAAATTTTGTAGATATCATTTGTGCTATAATTGCTATATTGATTTTTGAATATGAATATTTTTAAGAGAATTTTGAGAAATACCCCTTTTGGTGTACCCTTTTTAAAAATACCCTCTTTTCTATTCATTTTCAAAAATACCCCTTTTCAAATATGAAAAATTATTAACTTTTATATGGTTGATAAGGTACATCAAGATCATCATTACTACTGGGAGACTAAATCCAAATATTTAGAAGGTTTTGAAAGGTTTTAAACGACATTTATATGGTTTTTATAAGGTTTTTAAAAGGTTTACACAGTTTATAAGCTTTTTATATGATTTTAAAAGGTATTTATACGGTACGTATGAAATATATATATAAATTTACACACATGTAAATATAATTTGTGTCTATAAATATAAGTTTATACATATTTTTCTGATAAATTTCAAATTTTATTGTGAGTTTTTGATAAAATTAGAAAGAGGAGTATTTTTAAAAAGTGGTATTGGAAAATGGGTATTTTTGAAATTCCCCTTTAATATGTGAAAATAAGAAATTTATGTGATTTATAATGTTTATTCGCATGATTTTAGCAAACAAATATTTAATTATTTATTTATTTAAATTTTATTTATATTTTAAAATTATATAATTTTTTAAAATTTGATGATATGATCAGTTATGTATATATACTATATAGAATTTGATTAGTTGATTATTTCATATGCTAACATATTCTTTATCTTTTTATTTTTCAAAAAAAATGTTATCTTTGTTTATTTAGATTTATGATGATTTTGTTTTATTAGATTTCATTCTATATAAATTATTAATTTCGAAATTATATTAAAATATTAAATTAATACTAAATATGTTTATGTATATTCAAAATAGATATGTTTACATATATTTAATTTTGAATTTAATTGTCCACTTTTTATGGTAAAAGATTATTATGATTTCCATAAATATAGATTGTTTTTGTTTTTGTTTTTTTTTGCTGTTATTAATTCTGTTTGGCAACTGATTTTATTTTCATGAAATTTTTTTTTTAAATTGGGGGGTGTTTGGCTTCAAGTTGTCCTTCACAATTAATAATATAGATACTTAAGCTAAATGGGCATCCTAAGGCGAGTTTGTAAAATGATGGAGCAATAATTTGTACATATTAAATTTTATAAAAAGCTGATTTCAATCATGTTTTCTTGTCCATTGGATGATACTCTTTTGTTTATGTCTTCTAAACAATGTCCTCCATTTCTTTATATTATCCGAAAACCCAAAAAACATCATAAACTAAAGACAATCCAGATCCTGGCACCTTATTTAAAATTCGACGTTTGCATTTATGTTAAGAGTTCTGTAGAAGAAGCCTCTCACATATCCTTCAAACAAAACTTGAAGTCTATCAGCCAAAAAAAAAAGGTAAAGAAATAGACTGATTACAAAAAAATGCAAGGAACAAAGGCAAATATTACGATCTGAAATGATGAAGAAACCTACCGCTGTCTCTGATCAAAAGAAGTTTAATGAGGTAATCGTAATCAGCACAAGCTCTAGCAGGAGGAGCAGTCATCTCTTAAGCAAAATTTAAGTTGTAGCCGAATAAAACAAATCACTGGTACTAAAGCCAAATGGAGACAAATTCAAATCGAGAATCATGAACGTAAAACACTAAAATATCGTAAGGGAGAAGAAGTACCATATCTAAAACTCAGGGAACACAAATAATAAAAAGATTCAGAATGGAGCAAAGACACTAACCGGACGACCATTGAATTATTTTATTACTTCCGATGTTTTTCTTAGAAGAACTTTTTTATTTTTGGGTTGAGAGTTTTGTGTTGAAGAGTTCTTTAGAAGAAGCGTTCATCAGTAATATACTGTTTTTTTAGTTTCATGTATTTGTAATTTAGATCGTATCATTGTATGTAATAGAGACATTGCGGAAGAAAGATTAATTCTAAAAATAAAAGAAACTGTGGAAGGTATGATACGATTAACCATTTGTTCATATGATATATATATATATATATATAGCATAACTTACTGCGTCTATAAGTTAGGGTTCAAATAATATTCGACAATAATATATGAAATATAAAATATTAATACTTCCATATTTAAATAAGTAATTAATTTGCACACGATAAAATCGCAAAGACTGGAGTAGTTTCCTTGTTAGAATATTTTTTAAAGATTGAGATGTTTTTAAGTATTTTCTTAAGTTATGATTTACAATTATTTCCTTAAAATGATTTTATGTTAGTCAGCGTTAAGGTTTCAAAATTTTCATTTAATATAATTCTCTATAATTAGGTATAAGTTACCTAAAATTGTGGGATTTTTTGTCTCGCATTTAAGCTGTTGATTAATGCACTTTCATAGCCTAACTAATGATGCTAAATATTCAAGTTGTCGATATTCTCATTATTGGGTAATATCCAAACCCGTTTTTTTACCCGATTTCTAAGTATCCAAAATCATAATTTCGGGTAAAATTTTTTAATAACCCGACCCGTAAGCACTTTTGTACTTCTCTTGTACTAATATAGAGATTAACACTATTGGATTGTATAAAAGATATATTTTTTTCTTTTGAAGATAGGGAAATAGTCAAAACCCATAGCCTGCCACAGAACAATATACTTCCAATATTGCATGATACATCCCACCTAAACGCATAAAATAATTGAGAACTGTTGGTGAATTATGTAAAATTGTGACATTGCAATCCGGCCCATTAAAGCCCAACAATCAACAATGTTTAGTCCAAACTTTATACAAATGAAGTTATGAAGTACAAATTGGTGAAACTATGTCTCCACATACCCCAACTTGTGGTATTAACGGCTTAGACCAACATTATTGCAGGCATCTTAAAACTGAAAATGGGGATCTTGGCACAGTGTTCTGTATCTTACTAAGATCCCCATTTTCAGTTTTAAGATGTTTGCAATAATGTTGCCCTTAGACCAACATTATTGGTGGGATCTTAACAAATATTAGCTTAACATACTTGTTAAGATCCCACCAATAATGTTGTCCTTAGAAACTTGAGGTAACTTCCAGCTCAAGAAACAGATTACCTAGATTTTTCACATATATATATATTTCATTCTTGCATGACAAGCGACCTACGTGACGGCTAGGTTTTAACTTTCCGGTGATGTCGACAGCTCCCGAAGGCTTCCCTGGTATTTTTCCTTTTCCAGGAACCACATTTGAACTGGCCTTACTTGCTTAGGGTTTGGCCGAAATTCTCCTCCAAAAACTCAAACTCGAATCTGAGAACTCAAGGTTTTTTCGGATTCCGATATCAATGATTTTTCACCAACTTGCGAGACAAATTGCAAATGGAGTTAACCCCTGATTGATGAGCAGTCTTTTGTCTATTGCTTCCTTCCTTGCAGAGATGAGTGAGTAAGCCTCTATCTCCTTCACTCAGTTTTAGAGGCATTCATTGTATTTATGTTATATGTTTAGGGAAGCATAATAATAAATTCTCAGTCGTCTTCCATATAAACTATTCAGAGCTATTAAAGTTGACACTAGCTTCATACGATTGGCGAGCTTATGAAAACACCTAGACTATCGTTATCTTATTTTACACATTTCTCTTCTGGTTTTAGTAGCTTTTGATGATCTATAGTCTATACATTCCAAAACATGTAACGAATATATTATCAGCAAACAAATTAACAAAAAAAACTGTATTGTAAACTTACTCTCATATAAATTGTATAGTGAATACAAACGTACTGAAATACAACATACAAGTCTAAATCGTTAATGTTCTAATTCATGTATTTGGCATGAATCTGCTCCAATATAACCTTACGTTCTTACATATAATAGCAAAACAAACAAAAGATTGATCATATCACTTAACACAAAAACAGAAAAGAACCATGTATAGTGCGAATAATTTAGTTTGGTTTAGAGAAATAGAAAAGGCAAATGAAAGTACAATAGAAAAAGTGCAAATCAAAGCCGTATATGATATATTGAACTTCAATATTCAAATAAGAGTTATGGTAGAAACAGCTAAGATGATAGCAAGAGATAGCCCCAATCTCTTCAACAAGAAACAATCTTGAACTCGCAAACCTTGCTCCTTCTTCATTTTCCAATTTTTTCTTCTCACGACAGCATTTTCCATCATGAGTACTGTGCCCGGATTGTTACAATCTCCTTTCTTGGACCGCCTCGAGTAACATTCACTGCTTTGGTTTTTGATAGAGTTACCTCTTTGATGAACACATAGAAGCAACATAGGAATGAAGCCGAAAACATAAGCGAGTTTTCTCCATGGTCCAAGAATTGTCGAGACTACTCCATTGGTTCGCGGTTTGACGATCTTTTTACCGACATGAACCTCCTCTTTCGAAGTCATATTATGACAACATTCATTGATTACGCCCGTTGGATTTATATAAACTATAACGTTTTGCGATGGAACAATCTGTTGAAAAAATGTATTGGTTACTTGACGAGTTGTGACAAACAATCCATGGCTAACCTCAACTTTCTTAACCACATCAAAACGTGGTGAACTCGTTGTGTCATGATCGTTCTTGTCCAAAAGATTCTCATTGTGTTCGTTTTCTGAGAACTCAAGTGTAAATGCATCATCAACGTCTCCATTGTTGTTATTAACGTCCATAAGATCTTCAACAAAATTTATATTAACACTAATAAGACAAACTTAAATATCAAAAGATGTCAATAAAAAAGAAGCAAATGTGGGAAACTAAGGCTACCTTGATTTTGGTGTTCTTGAGTGTCTCTATGATAGCTCCAAATATCTTCTATAGGAACTACCGTTGAGTGTTCTTCAATGAAGCTCTAAAACAAGACCAACCATAAAGTAATATTGATAAAGCTACTTATATAAACAATATTATGCACTAATTTAGTATATTATCTTTACCTTTTCTAGTTCTTTGCTTGATACTCCTACCCATCTCAAGTTTTCAACAAGCCTCTCTTCTTTAAACCTCCCATAATGTTCTTGCATATCTATAGCCTTCATGTTCGCCTGTACGCATGCGATATTTTCTCGGGAATAGTTAAAGTCTCCATTGAAGTTTCCGGAAGCAGAACCACCGTCCCACGAGTCTAGACTGTTCCGTGGCTCGTGGGAAGATTGAGCCAATGCTATGATCTTGCTCAACATTTCATCTGTATCATTAGCTACGTTGTTCCCCAAGTATTCTCCATGTGTTTGATCTTCTACATAAAGTGGTGGCACCGTTGGCAACATTCGGTTTTGTAGTCTTGCACATTCTAACTCTATCTCAACCTATTATGTAAGGAGAATCCAAAGAATCAAAGATTAGTTTTCAAAATAAAAGTTTACATTTCCAAAACATTTTATTGTTTAAGATAATCTAAATCTACCTTTGTTGGAGGATATGAGATTGTTCCATATTGAGACTGAGCTGGGAAGTTGAAGGATGTGTCATGCGACATAAACTGACTCCATTTGTTCTCCATTGTTTCCATATCCGACGACGATGAAATATTACCAAGTTGAGTTAAGCCTCCTCCTGTATCTGGTGAGATTGGATATTCCGAGTTTTCGATGTTTTCATACATTCCATCGGAATACAAACAAGTACTTGAAGTAGACTGTTCACTATTAGTAGTTCCTTTGTTCTTCATGACATGGTTTTGTTGTTGTTCTTCTATCTTGTTTGCTAAACCACTCTTCTTGAACACTCGACAAAGTGCATACGCATCCTGAAATATTCATACATTGGTTATAAACAAAAATGTAACAATAAAGGCTAAAAAAAATATTAGCTTTGTTAAGTTTGTTTACTTGTATGCCGGATTTAGATTCACATTCTTGCTCTTCAAGACGGTATTCGTGCATGACCCAATCAGTACGAGAACCATGAGGCGCTCTTCCTCGGTAGTATACTAACGTTTTCTTCGTTCCAACGGTCCGCGAATGTGAATTCACTTTACGATCTTTCCCGGTGGCTTTCCAGTAGCCGGCTTTCGTCGCCCGGTTTGTTCTTGATCCGTTTGGATACTTGCGGTCTCGAGGACTGAAGAAGAACCATTCTAGATCTTTACTAGGCAGCAAAGACTTCCCTGCGCAAATTTAGCAAACAAGAACCATTTTTATATATTTAGCATTCAAGAGAACATTGTAATTAGGTTTATCCAACATTAATATGTATACACAACTTAAAGATGCATGAGAATCCAAAAAGATAAGAAAAGAAAGACAAATAAAGAGAACATTGAAGGTGAATGAGAAGCTTCCAAAACCCTAAAGCACATGTGAAAATTATGAGTTACTTTTTTCATTTTATCTTCTTACCTTTTTTGACTCGGTCTTCCTAATTTGTCTCACTACCGCATCTCTCGGTTTTATTACAACCCTTTTATAGAATAAAGATGAAGTTGGGTCCAATTAAATTTTTATTCTAAGATAAAGTTGGGATCGTTATTTATTATATATTTATTTATAAGTTCATAAAGCATTCACGTTTTGATACTAAGTTCGATGCGTGTCTCTAGATACATAACTTGGTACGTAAAATATGATAAAATAAAACTATATATTATATAGTTTACGTTAGGAAGAAACAAAAAAAAGAACATATCTTTGAAAAAGAAAAAAGAAAAACATCATCAAGTGTCTCTTCTCTCTAGGGTTACGCTTTCAAAAGGTAGTTTCACACTATATAGTCTTTGGAAATTGAATCTATATATTTCGTTATTCTAATACAAGTCCAAAAAAACATTGATCTTACAATAAGCGTACGTATCGATAAAATGATTATGACATATTAGAAAAGAACCAAGATAGACACTTCTTGGTTGTTATGACATATAGATACTGTCTCATTTCATATTTTCTTGAACATGAGACAGAACATACTTGTGCATGGTAAGAAAATATGATGTATAAACACTTTATACCTTTCTTGATGGTAAATACTTATGCATGGTAAGAAAAAATGATGGATTTGCATATGATGAGAACAATATAGTAGAGAAGAGAATTATATACCTGGTAAATCCCAAGGTTCGCATTTGTAAAGATCAATCTCGGGAATGATCTCTAACTCGATCGTTCGACCATTGATCTTTCTCTTGAGGTAGTATATGACAAGCTCTTCGTCTGTTGGATGAAACCGGAAACCAGGAGGCATAGAAACAGGAGCCATAGTAACTTCCTAATGTGTAAGGAACTCTTACAAAACCTTAGCTAGAACCAAATGGTTAAAGAGACAAAGATGAACACATGTAGAACTTGAGAGAGAGAGGGAGAGAAGAAAAGGAGGAGAAGGAGTGTGAATATAAAGAGAGAGTTATATAAGAAAGAAGCGTAAACATAAGGGTTTGAAATCGATCGATCAGTGATGGAATATGTAAGAAAGACAAAAAGAGATTAAAATTATTGCAAAAGAAAGCTTACAAAAAGCATTTAGAGTCGGTCGCCAATTGCAAACCCCACAACATATCTAACACTTTAACTTTTTCTTTTTCTACTTTAGTGTGTTTATATATTTCTGTGTAAATTTGATTCTCAGTATCGTTCTTGTTAAGCTTTATGTGTATCATGTTCAATATTGGATATTTCACGTTCATATATAAAAACATTTCAACAACTAGACCATCAAGATTGGTTGAACTCACTAGGGCTCGACATTTCGGTTCAGTTCGGGTTATGCGAATTTTACGGGTATTCGGATTTAAAGATATAAACCCATTCGAATTCTATTTTAGGGTCGAGTTCGAGTTATTTCAGTTCGGTTCTCGTATCCAAAATATTAGAAAAACTTTAAAAACTGGTTTATATATTAATTTTAATTTTAAAATATTAGTTTTATGTTTTTAATTAATTTATGAGCTCCTCACATAAACAAGTCACACATCTTACGGAATCAATCCCAAGAACTTGGTTCTCACATATTTTATAAACTCAATACAAATTTGCCATGAAATTAATTACCGCAACGGTAAAGAAAACAAACAACTAACAGAAGCAATATAATTTACTAATTCAGTTTTACTGAAATGGTAAAAGTACCATAAGTTTTCGACCAAAAAAAAATGATCTAAAATCCATGAAATTCGCAATTGTTGATCCAAAAGAAGAAGATATGGTGGTGAGATTGGTACAACCAATATATATTGTTTTCTTCTTTTTTTTTTTTTTTTGTCATCAATATATTGTTTTCTTCTTTATACATAGAAAACTGAAGTAATAATACAATCAAACCAGAGATAACCAAAACTAAACCAATAATTAAACACAATCCACACAAAAACTTCGAATTAAGATAGAAGCTTCTACCTATTATTGACTAAACCAGTCAATTTAAAAGTCAAGTGGTGATTTTGGTGGGAAAAAAAAAGTGGTGATTTTGATTTGTGAAGTCTTATTTTTGAGAAGTGACTTCAAATAGATTTTTCGGGAACTAAATCTCCGCGACAAACTCACCTGATCTCCTAGGTGTTTAAATTAATATTTTTCTGTGTAAATTAAAATTACCAGCTAAGATAGTAACTTTAGCCTCAAATTAATGAACATTCTCCTATATGGTGTGGAGCGGTTTGCCATGTCTAGCTACAAGTACATGATCGAATGACACATCTATTGGTTATGAACACATAATTTTGTTGAAAAAATATAATCTAGTGTGATAATTTTGTACAGAATCGCTTAGCAACATATTAATTATTTGCAAGATATATTGACACATATACAAAATTCAATCATGATTATAAAGTTTGATTTTATAAATCTTAAATAAATAAAAAATCACATTATATTTTCTTTTCAGCAAATTATGTAATCAAGTCAACTGATGTTCCATATCAATTTTCTGGGAATCATCTTCGGCTGCCGGAAAAAACACTCCAGTGTTCTGGAATTAGAGTTTCGCTATAAAGACAAAAAAAACTTTTGTACTCTTTCAATTAAATATCCTTAAATATTAATTAAAATAAAAAATAAAACAAAAAGGAAATAAAAATAGAATTAAAAATAGTAAAAAATACAAATACATAGTTTCATACAATATTATTTTATTCCATATTTAAATAAAAATACTTTGTGATAAATATTATTTGTAAAAATATTATTTTAAAAATATTTATGTTGATGTATAAAAGTATAAAAGTATGATGTATAAACTGAAAATAAAAGGGAATAAAAATAGAAATAGGAAAAAATACATCAACATTGATGTATACAAACATGATTTTATTCAATCTTCACAAGTAAAAATAAAATTTAAATAATACGTTATGATTTAAAAGCATGATGTATTAAAATAATACGTTATTATTTTTTAAGTATTCTTTTTAAGTAGTTTATAAATTATGACGTTTAAAATATTAATATATATATAGGGGAATTTTAAAAATACCCCTTTTCATATACCACTTTTTAAAAATACCCCATTTTCAAACTTTATCAAAAAACCCACTAAAAATGTTGAAATTTATCCAAATATGTGTGTAACCTTATAAATATATACACAAATTACCTTTATATGTGTATAAAACTTTATATACCTTTCATAAATAGCGTAAAAATAAATTATAAAAACCTTATAAAAACCGTATAAACCCTTTTAAAAACCTTATAAAACTTATAAAAACGATTTAAAACTATTTAAAACATTTTAAAATATTTGTATCGAATCTCCCAGTAATAGTAATTATATAGAAGTACCTTTTTAACTATATAAAATTTTATAATTTTTTATATTTAAAAAGGGGTATTTTTGAAAATGGATAGATAAAGAGGGTATTTTTAAAAAGGGGTACACCAAAAGGGGTATGAAATATGATGTTAAATACATTATGTTGAGGTATAAAAATATGATGAATAAAAAGGGAATTGATGGTTTTAATAGCACATATGACAACTAATCTAAACTAGTCTGTCACTGTTAGATAAGTCTATCGGATGAAAAAAAATTAAAGCCCGACAGGTTAAGTCTATGACAAAATGATTTTGCAATTTCAAAATATCTGATAACGTAAAAGAAATATGTTGTCAATAGAGAAAAATGTCATAAAAATCCCGATCTTTCAAATTTGGGACGATTTAATCCTGAACTTTAAAGAAGTCATTTTAATCACAAAGTTTTGTTGATTTTTCCGTAAAATAGCTAAGTTTTGTTGACTTCACTTATTTAAGCATGACATTTAATTTTTGTTAAAAACTTGAACATGTGGTTAACTATCTGTGAGCTCCTTCTGTTTAGCCTAGATGACCATGTTTCTTATACGACAAAACGACGTTGGAAGTCGTTTTTTCCTCTATGGATCTGCGCTATGGCAACAATTCAACAAAAAGTAAAGAGAATTTGTGGATTTTTTTAGGGTTAGGGAGTTAGATTTGTGAATTATGAATCGATTTTGAGATTTAGTTTCTTCAGTTTGTTAAACAACGTCATTTTGTGGTTTAAAACGGAAGCAACTCACGGATAGTTAACCATGTCTTTGCAATTTTAAGAGAAACTAAACGTCGTGTTTAAATCGGCTAAGTCAACAAAACTTAGCTATTTTACGGAAAAGTCAACAAAACTTTGTGATTAAAATAACTTTTTTAAAATTCGGGATTAAATCGTCCCAAATTTGAAAGTTCGGGATTTTTATGACATTTTTCCCGTTGTCAATATATGTAGGTTATTTGAGCAATTTGTTTTTCATTAACAAAGCTGCTATCAAACACCATAAGGGAGATGCTTATTTTGGGGTGTTAAACATTTTTTAATTAAATTTAATGATTAATTTGAATTTGTGAAACTCTTAAAAAGTGATTAATTTTCTTTCTCCAATGGTGAACTCTATAAGAGGTTTTAAAAAATAAATATTTTTCGTACAAAAAATATTAAAAACCAAAATTATATTACATTACATGGGTACAAAACATACAAAATATACATATTGAAATAAACATACACTCAAAATATAACAAGAAGCATATTTTTATTTAAAAAAACTCTTGCCCTCCCCCCCCCCCTTCCTCTAAAATATAATTTTTTCACTTCTTTTGCCTTAAATATTTTCTCTTTACAACAACCCGAATCTATACAAAAAAAATCCCACTAATATAGGAAAAAAAAATCAGCCTCTTTGACATTACACGTAGACGGCATCAAGAAAAAAAAAAGCATCAAGAAAAAAAAAAGTTCAACCTTTGCTAACCAATAGCAAAGCTCCACGTGGCGTTAAGGATCACCCTTTAAACAGTTTTAGTAAGGGTCGCTCCTTATTATTTAGTTACATTATAATTTATTTTTAACCCACAAAATATTAAAAATCTCTAAAATTTTTGGGTCTAAAAATTTTAACCTAAAACTAAATTTATTGTAAGATAAAAGAAATATGTTCTCACTATATGTCATTCTAGCAATTTTATTTTTTCTTCAACCGATCTGCTATCAAACGACATATTTTTGGTAAGATTAAAAAATCCATCACAACTACAAATATATTTATAATCACTAGACGTCAGTCTAGTAACAATGTTGCCATGAACAAATCTGTCATGATACGATAGATTTTTATCATTTTAAAAAGAAAATCTATAACCACTATTAAAAAGAAATCAGTCACAGATAAAAGTCGATAATAAATAAAAATTTAATTAGAAAAGAATATATTATTCCCCAGAGAAAATAGAGAGTTGCATAGAGATAGAGAGAAACTTAAAAAAGAAAGTAAAAAAGAAGAACTGAAAAATTTAGTAGGTTTTAGATTATTTAGCTTTATGTAAAATAAGAAAAAGAAAACTAAAAACAAACTGATATCAATTGTAAAAGGGTATAATGGTCTTTTTAAGTTAGAGATATGACACCCAGGAAAAAAAAATTGTAAAACTGGCATTGGATATAAAAAATGGTACTTTCGTATTTGATATACGGGAAAAATGTCATAAAAATCCCGAACTTTCGAATTTAAGACGATTTAATCCCGAATTTTAAAAAAGTCATTTTAATCACAAAGTTTTGTTGACTTTTCTGTAAAATAGTTAAGTTTTGTTGACTTAACCGATTTAAACACGACGTTTAGTATCTCTGAAAATTGCAAAGATGGGGTTAACTATCCGTGAGTTGCTTCCGTTTCAAACCACAAAACGACGTCGTTTAACATACCGAAGAAACTAAATCCCAAAATCGATTCATAATTCACAAATCTAACT